AAGAAGAAGAAGAAGAAGAAGAAGAAGAAGAAGAAGAAGAAGAAGAAGAAGAAGAAGCAGAAGCAGAAGCAGAAGCAGAAGAAGAAGAAGAAGAAGAAGAAGAAGAAGAAGAAGAAGAAGAAGAAGAAGAAGAAGAAGAACAACAACAACAACAACAACAACAACAACAACAACAACAACAACAACAACAACAACAACAACAACAATAACAACTATGACAATACTATCAATAATAACAGTTAAACAATTACAACAACACGAGAACCGAGGTGAGATTACCAACAAAGCTGCCCGGAATCCCCAGCTGGGTGTTATGATTGAGGGTAGAGAAGAACGACTCGTCTGGAATCCAGGTGCCTTTCAAAAAGTCCAGAAGATCCTGGCTCCGCGGGTCGTGTAGGGTGAAGTCCACAAACGGGCGACTCAGCGACACATGCACCCAGCCTTTGATGCCGGTCAGGTTGTGAGGAAGCTCCTGGAAATTCCAGCGGTTGAGACGGCGGCTGAAGCCAAACGAAAATTAAGGGGAAAAGTGAGTGTGAGTAAGTAAGCACGGAGTGTGTGAAAATGAGCACAGAATGTAAAAAATTGAATATAGATAAGTACAATATATGAAAAAAGTAAGTGTAAACGAGTGCAATATGTGAAAACGTGAGTATATATAAGTACAATATGTAAGAAAGCAAGTATAAATAAGTGCAATATGTGAAAAAGTAAGTGTAAATAAGTGCAATATGAGAAAAAGTAAGCATAAATAAGTACAATATGTGAAAATGTAAGTATAGATAAGTACAATAAGTGAAAAAGTATGTATAAATAAATGTAATATATGAAAAAGTAAGTGTAAGTGCAATATGTGAAAGAGTAAGTATAAATATGTACAGAAAGTGTAAAAGTAATTATAAATAAGTAAAGAATCTGTATAAATAAATACAGAATGTGTGTAAATTAGTACAGAATATTACAGATGAATATAGATAAATACAATATGTGAAAAAGTCAGTATAAATAAGTATAAAATGAGTGTAAATAAATACAGAATGTTAAAATTGAATATAAATATAAATAAATGCAATATGTGAAAAAATTAGTATAAATAAATACAGAATGTGAAAAAGTGAGTATGCATAAGTAAAGAACTGTATAAACAGGTGTTGCAGGATCGGGGGTTCGAGCCGTGGGCCCGACGTTGTGTCCCTGGGAAAGACATTTTACGCGAATTTTTCCTCACAACACCCATGTGGAAATGGGTACCAGGCCATAGACAATAAAAGATCTTTTCAGTATTTTCGTGTTTTAGCGCCTATAAATGGCTGCTTGCACTGTATCCTTCCCAGGAAGTTGAGTTTGTTTCAGAATGCTCTCAGGTCTGCTGGGGTAATAGTATAGATTGTGAAGAGCATGGAGCTTACTGTTGAGCGGGGATTTGAGCATACAAATGCTATCTATTATTATTATTATTATTA